CAAAGGGAACACTTACAAGTTCATCAAAAAGCTTTCCGTCGACAGAATGATATCCTATATCAGCGTCTAGCGCGTCATATAGTTCTTCGTTGGTCACTGTGGGAGGTTTGGTTGGGCCAGCCCAGATCAGACCTTGCGCCTGACGTTCTGAAAAAGGGGTACACTTACATCCAAACCTCCAAGGGATACCCTTGATGTCGTCTGGGGTGATTCTGTGAATTGGGTGGAGCATTGTCGTTGGCGGCGAACGAGTAGGAGGAATAAAGGTTAGGGTGGCAGCAGGGTTGGGCTGAAGCTACTTGATTGGTCGCCTCTTTGGTCGCGATATAAGGGCCACTGACGACGGTAATGGAGACTGGGATGGAAAGGAGACAAGGTATGAGGGCTTGTGGAGAGAGCAATTCTCGCGGATTTATAGTCGGTCAGCGATCCTGCCAACAGTGGCTGGTGTGGCTTATGGTGGCTTACACGCCTGCCAAAGTGCACGCTCCTGCCTCCTTATCGGATTGATTTGACCGCATTAGGTTGTAACGAGAACAAGTGCCTCTTCGACTATAAAATGCCATCGAGACGCATCCTCCCCAGCGAGAGGATAGCTTGCACCACGGTGTCTGCAAACGGAATTGGTAGGTCACAGACTCGATCAAGACTCTTTTTTGGTGCTCCAGCGGGTTTATTAGTTGAAACTATTCTCTGTATACATTCCTCAGATACCCCAAACGCCGATAGTTCCATCTGCACTTGCGGTGAGCATTTCATTATTATAAGGATGGTGTCCTGTCCATAGTATTGCCTTGTCGTGGACCTTTGGTGGCGGGCTGGGATCAAGAGCCGTAGCCTATCATGGCACATGAACAACCTTGATATGGATAGGTGACGATGGCTTACATTTACTAAGTCCCAGGCCCATACTCTGCCCTCTTCGTCTCCCAAAAGGACCGTCTCCTCGCCTCCTCCTGTTCGTTTGCCTGTACTGGTGGATTTGCTGTCCTTTGTCTCAGGGCTGCCATCGAAACATGCCCCGCAGCGATACGATTCATGGACATGACCAGAAAAAGTATTAAGACTCTGTCCAGTGGCTCGGTCGAGGAGATACACTTTGCCATGTAGCGTCGTAACTAGCAGTGCATCAGATGCAGAATTAGGATGTAACGCAGTAATCGGTTCTTTGACCATAGTCAGAAATTTGTATATAAGAGTGTGTGTTACTCACGTCCAAGGTAATCGCTAGTCATTTGGCCTTTACGGAGATCATATGTTCTGACGTGCCCGTCCACAGAACCGGTAATGATTTCATGATGTCCAACATGTAGTGCCTGTATTGCATCTTTCGAGTCTTCTAAAGACTGGATAGGCGACTTTGCTATTGCCCTAGAGGCCACAACTGTCATTACAAAAGACTTTTCAGATGTGAAGCCATACTTTAGATCCCATATTTTGACAGTGGAATCGAACGAGCCGCTGACGACAACGCTGGCATCCTGGTTGAAAGCGACTGTATTGATACGGCTTAAATGTCCTGGTATTCGACGTATCGTCTGTCCCGTGGTCACATCCCAATAAAATACAGACTTGTCTCCACCGCCTGACACGAATTTTGCGTTGTCGTGTGAGCTATTTATACCCGCATCATTAGAACAATTTTTTCCAATAACACATTTCACTCACCAATCAACACTGAGCACTTCATACCCATGGGCTTCATACTTTTTTATCTCTATTCCTTTACTCGGGTTCCACAACCGTACGATGCGGTCTTGACCACCCGATAGACAGTAAATACCAGCTCCTTTGGAATACGAAACAACGTGAACGGGGCCCGTATGGCCTTTGAGCCGCTGTACAGAAGTACGAGGACAAGGCATATCCTAGATTGACATCAGGCAATTCAAACGAATGTTGCTGGTTATTTTTGAATGAGTAGATATGGAATGCCGACGAAAGGGTATGTAATGATTTTTGTGGTTGGATCCAAGGTGGCAAAGCACAACATATGCATGGCTCTTCCTGCCCCAGCCAGGCTTCTCCCGATTTCGGGAGTTTCACAAGATGATATTGGGGACAAAATACGTGTTTATGGGTACTTGACCCTTCCAGAAGATGCGACGTCAGCGATAGCGCTTGTCCATTCTCCTCGAGCAAAACTATCTAGTCCACAAGGCATGCCCAAACCTGGCGATAGTAAACCCAAGCCTGTAAGGCAAAAGGGCTCTGGGCTCCTCGTCGATCTTTCACTTTGCCTGTCAGGTGGAAACGACTTGCTCCGCGAGTCTGGATTCTTGGTGATGGCAGTCGGCAACTTGGAGAGTATGGACGTATGTAGATCAAATAAAGCCTTAAAATACTCCCTAACAGTTATTAGGACCATTCTCTCCATGAGTTTATCCGGACCAGTGAACGGGCACTCAGGATCTCCATAGATGACAAGCTCATTTTACGTCTCATACTCTTAAGAGAGGCGCGCAATAACACCCTCAAGGATTTAGAAGATGCAATAGTCATACGTAATGATTTTGAGAAGGATCAAGGAAACTCGCGCTAGAGTTATGCTATGGGCTCAGCTAACTGATTCTAGATAGACCTCAAGCTTGTACGCCTGGCTACTCTGTATTATTTGACCTGTATCTGTAGAATTAAATGGTCTAATCAAATCATTACAAGGCCTATTTCGCTTCCAACTTCACTAGTATCTTTTCGGCTTCTCTTACGCCAGTCGTCCAGGCTCCATGAACAGTCGAATACCTATTTACTTCGGTATGCTCACCAGCCCAGAAAACCTTGTCCCATAAGGTGCGGGACAGCTCTAGTTGATCGATAGGTGAAGCAGCTGTTTGGCCTTCAATCCCTCCTTTCGGAATGAAGGAATAACTGCCATATGCATTGGGATCCGCTCTCCACGTTGTCCTGATTACTTCTTTGGGCTGGGGGATATCTTTGTTTTGATTGGTACTGCGGCTGGTGAACAATGGTTTCCCCAGATAGCTGTTGACGGCGTCTACAGCCCATCTCTTCGTCTCCTCATCCGTGCAGGCTTCCATGACATCCCCGCGTTCACCTCCGATGAACAGACATAATGCAGGGATACCAGATTGCGCGTGCACGTCAAATATCATCAGGGCTTGCGGATGCTCCTTCACGTACTCTGGTGTACGAGGTGGAAATGCTCCCGTTGGGATATTCTCCGAGTCGGGATACAGCCCACCGGATGGACCCATGAGTCTAGTCGGATGTTCGTCTGAGACCAGAAGCATTTTGATTGTTGAATCGCCTTGCTCCTCGGCCTCATCCTCGTTTCCATCATTCGGACGTGTAGCTGGTTGTTCGGAACTGGCCCACCATGCCGTTTCGTACACCAATACTACTTTATCGAGTAAACCGAATCCCAAACGATCGATAGCTTGTCTCCTTCGGAGCGGTAGAGGTGGATTGAATACCGGAGGATCATGCTTGAGAACTCCTAGTGGTAAGGTCAAGAGCGAGTAAGGAGTCAGGTATTGCTTCTGGGTCGGCGCTTGTTGATTAGATTCATCGGTAGCATCTCTTGTCGTCTTTTGAGTTTTCAAGAGTACTTTTCCTTCATCCTCTTCGCCCTCTCCTTCTTGCAGCGTGACTTCGGCCACTTTCTCCCCCAAAATGAACTTTCCGCCCAACCTCTCGATATCTTTTTTGAGCCATTGCACCAATGGGCCATAGCCATCGACGAGAAGCGCATCTGGTCCCTCTGTATCCTGATTGAAGCACCACCACTTTAATGAGACATAATCAA